AGTAGGTAAATCCTTAAATATATGGTCAAACACATCTAAAGACTGTTAAAAATCCATAAAAAATATTGTCTACTGATCCCTTTCATACTTTTTTCTTCTTTTTCTTTGTAATATCCCCATCAAATATATTCATATGAATGCGACTTGAGTTGATAAGAAACGAGAACAAGTGGCACTGATCTTCAGCAGTCAGAGGTGAGGGACACCCTATAGGTCACAGGGCTATCATAGACACGAGGCAAACTACCAATCACACTCTCACCCAGACCTTGGGGCAGTTTAAAGATACCATTTAACCTAACATGTATGTTTTTGGTCAGTGGAAGGAAACCAGACTACCCAGTGAAAACCCACACATGCACAAGGTGAACACGCAAACTTCACCCAGAAAGGCCAGGAGGTGAACCTGTGACCTTCCCGTTGAGTTAATTTACAATCATATAATAAATTCATTTGTTTCAGAGCAATGTTCAGAATTTGCAACTCCCATAGCAAATGCTCCCACACTTCCTGAAAACACGCACGGTTACATTATCTTAATTAGAAACACAGGCAGACTTTACAGCTATGTGAGGAGGACCTGGAGGCTGAATTGCTCCGTGAATGCAAAGTGCATCATCTTTCTAATTTAATTTAATGCTGAAAATGAACTCAGCTGGACCCGATGCACGCAGAACAACAGGGTAGAACAAAAATGCTGCAGGTTTCATTTGTGTGTTTTTGTTGCGAGCATTTAAACATATTTCTGTTGAATCACGAAGAAAACATTTGAGCAAAAACACATTTTAAATAATATACAGTTTTTTTTGACATAGACTAAAGAGGAAATTTCTGAGAAGACAATGCGATGTAGACTGTAGCTCTTTTGAGTCCCACATTTGCCAAAAGTGCCAGAACACATACACAAAATGCAGACAATGGTGCATTTCTACCAGTCTGTTTTTAACAAACTGTCAATCAAACTACTGCATGAATGACAATAAAAGATCTCATCAATAGTTATTCTTCAATAACCTCTGATCAGAATATTACCATCATCATTTGAACATTAATAAAAAAGAAAAAGAAAAAAAAAGTGCTGCACCACCACCAAGGAGGTACCTTGATCCCGGGGCATTTGCATTCATCACCTCATTCCGCTGGATGTGGGAACGATTTACCATGGGGCTCTGTGATTGGACGACACTGAAAAGCAGGCGCTCTCCAATTGCACGTACAGGGATGCTGCCAGGCCCCCACCCCACCCCCTCTTCGCACACTGTCACACTCCACTAGTGGCACTAGAGGGCAGTCCTCTCTGTTGCTTTTTGTTGTGAAGGAGGCATCTATAAACAGGAGTCATAGCAAAGGAGTGGGACACAGTAAGAGTTCAGTTTGTTTAACTTCTAATATAAGAAATATGTGAATCCCATGAGTAATACTGTAAGATCACAAAATATTAATGTTCCATTTYCCATCATGAGGCAGTAATTAATGTTGTACTAAACCATTTAATTTCAATTCTCTATAGAATAAAACACGAATAGCACGAGCAAGACAAAAAATATATAGATTACAGTAACTGACAAATTGTGAGCAACAACCTTAATTTGCAAAATATTAAATAGGCAGATGATTTTAGCTGTTGTTTTAATAA